GATTTAAAACGTGAAGCCGCTGCATTTGGTCTAAATATAAATGAAAGGAAAACAAAATACATATACGGAGTGCACAATCGACATGAGAATCATAGAGAAATAAAAATAAGATGAGAATCTGAAGTGTCGAATCGACATCGCGTGTCGAATCGACATCGAGTGTCGAATCGCCATGAGAATCTGAAGGTAGACAACCATACCTACGAATATGCCTCCACCTTTCCTTACATAGGCTCAATAATAAACAGCAACATGACAGCAATAACGTCATTCAAGAAAGGTAAGCACGGATTTTTAGCGGTAATAAGTGTTTTTATGCATACAAATACTTAATGAGTGGTAAGTTACTGAATCGTGAGTCTAAGCTTAGAATCTAAAAATTAGTAATTAGACCAATGGTCACGTATGCGTGTGAAACGTGGAGCCTTTCAACCACTGATGAAAATAAATTGAGAATATTTGGGCGCAAAATATTAAGAAAGATATTTGGACCAACCCATTGTAGCGATGGTTACATGATAACACGAACTATGAGCTGGATGAATAATGCAGAGCGCAGATATCGTTAGATTTGTAAAGTCTAAGAGACTAAACTGGCTTGGATACTTAGAAAGAATGTAAGATAATCGAGCTGTAAAAGTAATTAAGAGATGAAAACCGCAAGAAAATAGGACTAGAGGAAGGGTCCGTAAAGGGGGATAGACAGTGTAGAGAAAAATCTTAAAATCATGAACATAAGTCACAATGGGAGATCGTCTTTAAGCAGGCCAATACATGCAAAGGGTTGTACCGCCATTAGAAGACGAAGATCTTGTAACCAGTATATGCCATGTATCACAAGCAAGCCAAAGGGTTTCGACCAATTTAGACGAATCTGGGCCACACTGAATAGAATAAGAATAAATTGTGGCAGCTGCTCCAACTCACTTTTTAGATGGGGCAACATATCCTCTTCAAATTGCGATTGAGGTGCTGCAGACAAACGGTTAAACATCTAGTGGTTCTACCAGATCCTACAATGGCAATCCGTCTGATTTTTTAACTGCGACCAAAGTGTCAATTGAGCAAATTTGTCAACTAACTGTTTGTTTGTAAAAATTAATTATTATTATTTACTCTTTGTATTATATATAGAGAACTGGTGGTAGAATACACAGAGACTGGTGTTGATCAATATAGGTTTAAAAACATAAAGGAGAAGAGAACATTATATAAACAGTGACAAGAAAATAAGCAAAATATTTTAATCAGATTAGATGTATCCGACAACGTAAAATAACAAACAAGGAAAATATGTTTATCTGAGACTAAGTCACAATTATTGATTGTAATGATAATTATATTTTTAACTGCTGTTTGACGTTTCGATTTACACTTAGGATCGTTTTAAAAAAAGATTATTTTAAAAAATATGTGAAAAATATAACCAAAAAGTTGTTTCAAAAATAGCAAATGACTTACTTGATCTAGATCTTGTAGGCAATAGCCATGCTTTTAGTTGAAACAATCTGAGAGTGTAAGTTTGCTTAGGTAGATGTATCATTACTTATCAAAAGCAATGTATTAAAACTTAGAGGAAGCGCGGTAAATTCGGACCCCTGCTGATAATTCGGACCCCTAGTGTAGTTTTATATCGAGGGGCTGATGCCACTGAGAAAGCAGTGTAAATCTGTCATTGGCATTGCCGGATGTCGAGGCTCTACGGTTGTTAAGTTAGTGACAGGGTTTAGACAATGGCGAGTGTTTTTTTATTTTTATGACTCCCGGAATATTTGCAGTGTTCCAGCTTATCATTTCCTAAAATGGTTCTTTTGAAGGTAAAAACTTAATACTAATGTAGTAGCTAGTAAATAAGTTGGTAGAGTGTTTAAAGTGATGGAAAAACAATTCTACCGGTAAGTTTTTGAGTGAGGTTAGTTTTAATTTGCATGTCTTATTTCCTAATTCGGACTTGGAGTTTTTAATTCGGACCCCTTCTAATGCTAATTCGGACCCCCAGTAAAAACGTTCCATTATTAAAAACTAATTCCGAATATTATATTTGCAGATTAAAAAACCATGCAAAGACTATCAAATAAAAAAAGAAGAAGTTGTGGTCGGAGGAAAATATGAAAAAGGCTATAGAAGCAATTAGGGCGAAAAGAATGGGCTGGAAAAGGCAGCCAAGACTTTTGAAGTATCCAAGACCACGTTGAACCAGTCATTGGTCTCAGAGGAAAAAGGCAGGTAGGGTCTCTTACGTCAGCGGAAAGAGGTGCCTTGATAACAATTGTAGTCTGTATGAGTGCTGGTGGCGATTATGTTCCAGCGATGGTGATATTTCCTCGGAAATACATGAATGCTCAGTTGCAAAAAGGAGCTCCCCCAGGTTCTGTCTTTCACGTGCAGCCATCAGAATGGATTACAACGCAATAACTGTTTACAAAATGGTTCGACCATTTTTTAAAAACTACAAAACCTATAATTGAGTTCTCCTAGTCTTTGACGGGCATATTTGTCAAGCCACACCAGAAATATTCATATTATCTAGAAGGCTAGGCAGAACCATGTTACAATCATCTACTTACCGTCTCATTCAACGAATAAGTTGCAGCTCTAAGATAAGTATTTTTTGTCCCCTATAAAGACTTATTATAGTCAGGAGATCAGGCCATAGCTGTAAATAAACCAACGCCCTCTAACAGCATTTGACGTAATGGAGCTGTTTGGCAAGGCCTACATAAAGTGTCAAACGGCAAAAATTACCATAAATGGGTTCAGGACAACTGAAATTTTTTCTCTGGACAGAAACAAGTTTTCTGATGCCGAATTCATTGCAGAAGCCCAAAAAGAGCAGGCTATAAATCTAATGACCCTATTGAAACTTCTTCCACCAACACACTTGATAAGGAAAATCTTGAATCTTCTCAACTAGTCACAAACTCTTCTTTATGGGATCTACACAAACAAGCGTCCACCTCACCTCAATTGGTTAAAACTGCTGCCCTACATCCTCCTGCCATCCCCCTCATCAAGTTCCTGTTCAAATCCTTCTCCAGTTTACACAAGCCCTTTTCAAATCTTGCCTGTAGCCAAACTAATACAAAAATCATCTGGAAGGGGCCGCAAGCCCTGCAAGTCGGCCATAATCACTTTGTCTCCTTATAAAGCAAAATTAGAGACAAATAAAGACGCAAATGGAAAATGGAAGAAGACTGGAACAAAAAGGAAGATTTTAGAAGCTGAAAATAAACAGAAAAAGTGTAAGAAGCCTAAATCTAGCTCTCAGGTCAAGAGACAATTCGATTTTGACATACTCAAGAAATCGTCGTCTGAGGGAGAAGATAATTTATCTCTGACGTCAGTCTCTTCAACCGGATTGGTTGTAGTACCAGGACAAACACTGGATGAATCGGATGTGACGTGTATGTTCTGCAACGAACAATGGTCCAAGTCAGTGATGGGTGAACAGTAGATCAATTGTCTAATGTGTCAATGTAGGGCACAATTTGATTGTATCAGTGCAGAAAAAGATGAAAACATACGCGACTTCTGTCAGTAGGTAGGTTTAAAACGTCTGTTCAGTAGAGTAGACTAGGTTTAAAATTAAAACAATCTTTTATGAAAAAGCTAATTTCTTTTGATATTCTTCTATTTAGGTCACTTTAAAGCCAAATTTGTACACAGTTTCTTAATCAATCTATTTTAGAAGTGAAATAAATTTATATATTTATTTAATTGTAAATTGTTTCTGCACCCGCAATAACTCATTAAATTTCTCGGGGGTCCGAAATACGAGGAAAAAGAGGGGTTCCAATTTACAGCATTTTTTTACAGTGCCCATTTTGTAAACCTTTTCAAAAAGATAGCAAAGTCGTATAATATATATTTTTTAGAGTATTTTAAACTAAGAAAAGTTATTTGTAGATAATTTTAGTTTGGTTTTTTTCTTAAACTGCAATTTAAATTACTTAAGTGAAAATGTTATTAAGTAAAAACCAATTGGGGGTCCGAATTTGCCGCCTTTGCCGAATATTTCTTATTAAGAATCCAACACATTGGAGGTGCCTTGAAGGAAACGTCCTAGAGTCTTTAAATTTGCTACATAGGTTCCTCGTGGCCCAATAAACCACCCTACTGAATATATTATTGTCGGGTCATTCGATAATACCTTGTATTGGTTTATTATTTATACAAATTCACAGCTTTTCCAATGATGTTCACCCTTGTTTGGTTCGATCTCAAGAGATCAATTAAAAAATATAGCTGCCTCATTATGAAAATTTAACGCACAAATAAATCAGAAGTAGGTACATATTCATAAAATATGATTAATAAAAATATGTACTTATATTAAATTTTAAAGTAAACGTGCTGTATAACAACGTTGACAAAAGCTCTGGTTAAGCTAATCTGTATTTTTAACTATTGTATATTTTTCGATAATAAATACTAATAACTAGGGTTCAGATAATGATACATTTACATACTTACATATTATGCATTTATACATTTTAACAACGTTATAGTTAAATGCATATTGGGTAACTATTAAAAAAATAATATATATATATATATATATATATATATATATATATATATATATATATATATATATATATGCCAATTGTAAATGCATATTTATCCGAATTAATTAATTATTACCCTACTATTAACTTTCCATATTTAACTATTATGTTTATAAATAAAAAAATATCAATGTAATGTCATAACTAATATTTTGCTGTAGATCCGATTATTTTACAAGACTGATTTGTACAGACTTTTTCATAGGATTTCTACATAAAATATAACTAATACAAACAAAAAATGTGATAACAACTCTAAGTTATTTTTTTAAAACAGTACGAAAATACTCTTGCTGTAATTTGTAAAAATATAATATGTTCTAAAACTAAAAGTTAGACATAATTATGACTAGATTTTACAGATCGATGATTTGAGAACAATTTTTCCTCAATTATTTTCACTACCACATAACTTCTTCGGTTTTTTATTGGTCAGTCACATCTAGTCTCTAAATAAGTAGCAGGATCTTTAACTTCCTTTGGTAATAAATAGCCTTGTCCATCTAACAAATCGATCTGCGTGAAAGCGGGCAGAGGAGGAGGCCTTGGAAGACTTTTATTGCTACCAATTTTCATTTTTTTCGTTTCGTTTTCGTTAAACAAAGTTGGTTTTCTTTGATTTTCAAAGGCTTCTTCCAATTTTTCGCAGATGCTGGGAAATGTAATTCTATGTCTAGGTTCAGTTTTCCAACAGTTCTTCATAAGTTCGCATATGTAGGAAGGGCAATCATCTGGCGGTATCAACATTATTCCATCTAAAATAAGTTTGACGACTTCTTCGTTGCTGTGGCCATAGTATGGCTGTTTTCCGAAACTGAAAATCTCCCACAGAACTACCCCGTATGACCATATATCTGATTCCAAGGTAAAACGACCGTAAACTACACTTTCTGGAGACATCCAACGGACTGGTAAAAGTCTAGATCCACCAATCTAAAAAAAAAAATGTTAAATGTAAAGAAAAATGTTTTGTTTATAAATCGATCTAGGCTATGTAGATCAAGAACATTTAGATTACTTAAAATGAGATATTAAAAATTCTCTGAAATTAATAACAACTATATTAGACTAAAACAGGGGGATGTGTGGGCTACGTGGGCCTAGAAGGGTAGTAGCACCTTTGAGTAATCGGATTTACTGAACACTGATCCTCACCAGCCCACGGGGATAGATAATAAGAATATAACTCCCTCTAGCGGAGCCTCAGCCTCTCTTTAGCCAAGACCATAATTCTTGGTGAAAAGCCATGCCCTACACGACGTATCCCTGTTAACGCTGAAAATTACATATCTAGACCCTTAAGTCGATAAACATTTCTGGAAATGGTAAACAGTATTTCCAGTACCAAGTTGTGGCTTAAAAGAATCAATGGACCGGTGGAATATTGGATACAGTGCACAGGAGGCAGGACTGAAGCAGTTTTACTTGTTATTATATTATGATATAAATGTACCAAACTCATCTAACCAGCTTGGTGTTTTAAGGCTACTATCTTCGGTTTAGGGTCAATAATTACTGTTAGATTTGGAACTAGATTTTATTATTCCATTAAAATCAACGCTTCGGCAGGTAATCCTTGTTATGTTAATATTCTAAAATGTACAAAAATTGAGAATATGATGATATTACCAACACAATAACTTACATGTAAAGCGAGACATTACATTAATGAACGAACACAGAGTAAAAACTTACATCCGATGTCTTATTGCTTACTGTCATTAATTTATAATTAACTCTTTGAGCCGCCATGGTACATGCAATGTACCACCTTTTTCGGTATTGTTAAGTGGTGGTGGTCTTATAAATGTACCAGCTTTTTAAATCGTTGTCGCGTACATTGCAGTGGTACAGTTTTTTGACTAATGTAACAGCCATCTACTCGAGACTATACAAACACACTGGCATGCTTAAATCCATATTTTATCGCATTCTGTAGCCACAATAGTACATTGTTTACCGGGTAGGAAAAGCTTAACATTCCTGGACGACTGTGAAGATTGCTAAGTCGAGGCGCAAGCCGAGACTTAGCAACACAGAGTCCAGGAATGTGGCTTTTCCTACGAGGTAAACATACTATTTTTCCGCAAATCGTTTAAAATTCGACAGATATTGATTGATTTAAAAAAAAACGCGATAATTTTATTCCCAAATAAATGGTGCTTTGAAATTCCTAATAAAATTACTTGGGTTACTATGGAAACGTATTGAGGTTGAATTGTCAAACTTGACGCTTATAAATTTAATTGCTGGTGTTCTCGAAAGTAAAATGATAAGTGATGATGAAATTTCCATTCCTGGGACTCCTCCAGAGCTGGTTGAGGCAGTGAATACTGCTTCATTAGAATTATTGCCAAAGAAATCAAGAGAAAAGTACGAAAATGCATACAGACGTTTTATGGATTATCGCATGAGTAAAAATACGAGTTCTTTCTCAGAAAATGTTGTAATGGCATACTTCCTAGACCTTTGTTTAAAGATGAAATCTTCAACATTACGGGCCAATTATTCAATGCTGAAGTCAACCCTTGCACTTAAACACAATGTAGATATATCTACATACTCAAAACTTCGTTCTTTATTGAAACGGCAAGCTCAAGGTTATAGGGCAAATACACCTAAGATTTTAACGAAGGAAGAAATTGAAAAATTTATCCAGGAAGCTCCAGATAAAGAAAATTTAATGATTAAGGTAATTTACAAGGTTTTAATTTCTATTTAGATTATAGCTTTATTTATTTTTTAGGTGGCTGTAATATTTGGTATTTCTGGGGCCTGTAGAATGGATGAGTTAGTCCGAATGACTGTACACGATATAGAAGACTTAGAATCTAAGCTTTTAATCAGCATACCTGATTCGAAAACCAACAAACCAAGATCATTTGTAATTAATCAGATCTACTTGAATGTTTATCGAAAGTATGTTTCGTTAAGACCAGAAAATATGAACAGTGACCGATTTTTCTTTAAATATCAAAGCGGAAAGGGTTGTAGACAAGTGGTAGGAATTCATAAATTTAGAAAAATGCCCAAAATAATTGCTACTTATTTGAACTTGGTAAATCCGACAGAATATACTGGTCACTGCTTTCGTCGGTCTTCTGCAACAATATTGGTTGACTCTGGTGCCGACATAACTAGTTTAAAGAGGCATGGCGGATGGAAGTCATCAAACGTTGCTGAAGGATATATCGAAGAATCGCTTAACAATAAGGTTGAGGTGGCAAATAAAATTTTCACAGTACAAAATATTCAACAAAATGACACTTCCACCCTGCATGTTGTCCAAAATGTTTCTCATAGTTCTAAGAGTGTTCCTCCAATGTTCAATAATTGTACTAACTGTCAAATTACTGTAAATATAACAAATTGATCTTAAAAATGTATTCAGCAATGACTTGATGTTTTCAAAATATAAATTAATTCCTTATAAGCAATGTGTTTTCTATCATTTATGTAGAACACTAACAACTGTACGGAAATATCATTTCCTTACAGTAAGGAAATGACATTTCCTTACAGTCATTTCCTTACTGTAAGGAAATGATATTTCCGTACCGTTGTTAGTGTTCTACATAAATTCTGTCAAGTTTGACAATTCAACCTCAATACGTTTCCATAGTAACCCAAGTAATTTTATTAGGAATTTCAAAGCACCATTTATTTGGGAATAAAATTATCGCGTTTTTTTTTAAATCAATCAATATCTGTCGAATTTTAAACGATTTGCGGAAAAATAGTATGTTTACCTCGTAGGAAAAGCCACATTCCTGGACTCTGTGTTGCTATCTTCACAGTCGTCCAGGAATGTTAAGCTTTTCCTACCCGGTAAACAATGTACTATTATTGTCAGTGCATCGTGTACTGAAGCTTGTCGACGTTTTTTTATTAATAGTTACTGAAAACTGAAGTATTTACAAAATAATTGTGTTCAATACGTGTGTTGAGGTTGCTAGGTAAGTAATAATTTACCTAATTGAAAATATTTGTGTGGCAATTAAAAATCCACAAAGTTTTCTACTGGCACAATATTCTTACCACGAAGCGGTTGAAACTCCAACGGCAGAAGTCGAGAAAATTGGTAACAGTTCAGGTGAAGAGTCTGAGTCTGGATTACCACTAGAGGAGACAAGAGAATATTACTAGAGCTTCTAGACCTATCTTGCTTATATACCTCCAACATGGTCAACTAATCATAGACCTACTTATCTCTCCTAAAAACTTTACACATTCTTCTGCAGTACCACACTTTATTCAAGAGCTTGATAATCCAACCCCATATAAGTTGTTTCAGTTGTTCATAAATGATGATTTTATTGAACATTTGGTATTCCAAAATAATTTCTATGCAGAGCAAATAAAAACAACTCACGGTAAAAACTTTTGTCGACTGAATTTAAAGAAATAAAAATATTCTTGGATATAAACTTGCTAATGGGTATAAAGCGATATCCTAGTTATATAGACTAGTGGTCTAGTGCACCTGACCTTCCAGATGCTTACATATCCAGTTTGATGAGTCTCAAGTGATTTAGTTGGTTACTTGGGCCATTTTCATGTAAACGATAATTCTGCTATGCCTGTTCGTGGTTCACCAAATTTTGATAAGCTGTATAAACTGCGCCCAATGTACCTCTATAAATTCGAGAATTATTTGTATCCATCTCAGCAAGTAGCCGTCGACGAATCCATGATAAAGTTGAAAAGGCCGGAGTACACTGAAGCAGTATATGCCAAAAAACCCATACAACAAGGCTATAAAGTGTGGATGCTGGCAGATAAATCAGGCTATTGTCTAAAATTTTATTTATATAAAGGGAAGGCTGATTCAGCAGAAAAAAAATTAGTGTTACGGGTGGTCAATTATCTGACAGCTTATATTCGTGGCAAGCATCATGTTTTTTATTTTGATAATTTTTTTTATAGTGTACCTTTGATAGAGAAATTGAAGAAACGCAACATCCATGCAGTAGGTACTGCAAATGTGTCTCGCCGATATCTGACTACTTTTAAGATTGATGGAAAAATGAATCGAGGAGAGTATCAGTGGTTCACCAGCGATTCTGGATTGGTAGCAGTAAAATGGAAGGATAGGAGAGCAGTACATATACTTTCCAACTTCCACAACCCTAAAGATGTCAGTGAAGTAAGTTGAAAAGAAAAAAACGGCGACAGACATCTAATACCATGTCCTCATGCTGTAACTGATTACAATCAGAATATGAATTTTGTAGATAAATTTGACCAGATGTTATCAAGTTACAAAATTGGTGGATACTACATTTACAAGTTGATACAAGTGGCATTAAAATATTTTCGCCCTGCTGTTATTAATGGATTATTGGCAGACCAAATCGTTTCAAAAAAGAGTCTATAAAATTCTTTTCTAACAGGACATTTCGGTGGCGTCTATCTCCCTTCTTTCCGCTTTTCGTAGGATCCAAGATTTATATCCGTAAGTATTGCGAATATTAAGCAGTTGATCAACCTCATTTTTTTAGAGTTCGTGAAATTTGAGAGTGCTTTCATATTTTGCCCATCTTTCCTACGGCGACTGCCGCTATATTACATCTACGTTTTATTTTATCCTGTAGTGATCCTGTGTTTGTAATCACTGATCCTAAAATACGAGCTCACAACCTCAACCGGTCAATATTGGTTATTTGTGGATAATGGTTATGTAGTCTATCCACTATAATGATCTTTATCTTTGATATGTTTAAATATAAACCAAATATTTGACTTTCCTTTTTACCCAGTCGTATGAGATCAATTATGATTATGATAAACAACATTTATTCAAACATTAATGTTGTTTACCTCATTTTCTATGCAGAGTGTAACACTTGTTACTTAGTAGTGCAGACCGGATAATTACTTAAGGGTATATAACACATACTTTTTCTCGTTCCTCATAATAAGGTTAAGGTATTCTAGCTTTAAACTTTTTATCGAAAACAGTAGGTCCGGTCTATTATATGTACTTGAGCTAAACAGTATAAGATGAATTAAAAAAACTTACCTTATAATAATCACAGGTATACACGTCTCTGCTCATTCCGAAATCTGCAATTTTCACCACTGGTCCTTCTGCCACCAAGCAATTTCTGCAAGCCAAATCTCTGTGGACGAAACGCTGTGATGCCAAGTATTTCATTCCTAGTCCTATCTGAAAAGCTACGGCAAGAAGATCGGTTTTTGTTAGTTGTGGAAGATCTTTTTCCAGTTCAGAACATTTTTGGGATCGGAGAAGTTTGGCTAGGTCGCCGTGTGGCATGAACTCGAAGACCATCATCGGATTAATGCTGTCATCTAAAACACAAAACGCTTTAAAAATACGTTTATTGTGCAATTTCTTTTCTTGTATGAATTTTGGTTGATATGGAACACTAGTGGACACTTTCAATGACTAACTTTATTATTTATCGTGATTTGTTTTATCGTGAAAAGCCCAAAATTAAAATGCAAAAAACCTTTTAGGTATATATTGTTATTAGGACAATAACAGTATCAATAGATAGAATCGAATTTGATATATAAAATTTATTAAATTACCATTTTAACTAGTTATAAAATTTACTTCATATAAGAAATCATTAATACGTAAATATTAGTTAGATCGATCTCATTATTATTCTAATAGTATGTATGAAGTGTCAGTTATGTCAAGGGATGTTCAAGTTGGTTCATACTTTGGACAGTGCAGATCTCTTAAGTTCATCGCATCCACTAATCCTTGTTTTCGTCTTCTTGGTGATCTTTTTTGTTTCTTTTGCTCCAAGAAGTCTCTATTATTATCCATTGTTTGGAGTTGACCATACCGAGTTAATTTTTGCTATCTATGACGTCTAGAGTGTTTCCTTTTTCTCCTATAATTTTATGTATTATTTCAGTTCTGACAAGTTGTAATATCGAGAATGGACAACTTCTCCGCCAAAAATCCATTTCCAGAGACAATAATTTATTTTTTTCCTTTTTGTTTAGCTCCTATGTGTCCATGCCATAAGTGGTAATGCTTTCAACAATTGCTTTGTATAAAATAACTTTATATTTCTTCAAAATTTTATAACTTCACGGCAACGAATTTAGTTGGCTTATTGCCCTTTTTTCTTGCCCAATTTTATTTGTGATATCTTGATTGCTTTTTCCGTTTGCAGTAAGAGTGCCTCCGAAGTATTTAAATGAACAAAAATTCCTAATTTTGTTTATTCCTTCATCCAAGTCCTGTCGATCATCTTCATCCACTACTCAGTTTTTTGTATAGTTTTGAGTATTCCTCGTGTAATTTTCTAAATATATACCTCCTACCGTCTCTCCCGCTATCAGAACATGATCGTCTACAAAGAATAAAGCGTACACATTTTTATTTATATAGAATTCGTTAGAATATGCGTATTTTTTTAACACTCCCCATGAATGTTTTCATTTTTGTACGTTCATTTCTTATTTTTCGGAAATAAACTTAATTGTCATTGTTGATAGGTATCAAAAGGCATAACTTACCTCACACAAATGGCTAGTCTTTCCTTTGTTTCAATTGGACTTTTTCAGTTAGTTGTGCACTGTCGCATGCTGCCTTTTATCAGGGGATCCAGTTCCTCTTAACATTCTTGCAACATACACAAAGATTTGAAAAATTTATCTTCTTGTGATAACGGTTAAATACACAAGCGGTGGTTTTCTCTCGTCTCTTCTTATTGATATCATCTGTTATTTCTACTATTGCACAATTCCTAAAGTCTATACAATTATAACAATAATACCATTTTAGTATTTACATACACACAAAGTTGTTTAATTTCACTTTTAAAATTTTCGATATATGATGTCCATCTTTCTGTTTTTTTTTTGGTTACAAAGTTTTCAATGACTTTATTATTAAAATGATTAACGCCATTTACATAATGTTTTCTTCAGATAGCATAACTAAAGCTGAGGGAGCCCTGTACCTGGCTACCTACATCACGAGAGTTGGAAATCTTTGGATTCCAAGCCTTACTTCAAAGGACTTGTGAATGGATGCATCTCCATAGGTTTGGTTCTTCAGTGACCGTTGAAGGATAAGGATTCTTAATGTGAGCAAATATAGCTCCAGAGAAATAAAATCACTTTTGAGTTTATCGATTAACAATTAAATCTTTTAAGAGTAAATAGGCCCAACACGGCCGTAACTTACTATACAATATCAAATGTACTCTTTCTTTATAACACGTAAAAGAAAAAACACCGGTATGAGAAAATGTCCGATCTCGGCGAAGAGAAATATTTAATACGTGAATTGCGAGTTTTTTAACTACTCGCTGCGATGCCTCGATGGCCATGTGTCAATTTGAACTGATCTTACTGAACTGATAAAACACTACATAATGCGTGAACGGGAATATTACACCTATTTTATTTAGGTGTGAAAAATATTTAACAGGGTTAGACGTCAGACGCAACTCAGTCGGTTGTCGCGTTCAAACTTGATAAGGTGACTGTTCTAGTTATTCTACACTAAGAAAAGTCAAAGAATTAGAAATTAGAAAGAAAAGCAAATAAATATCCGGAGATGGTAAACCTTTTTTTTATTTGCAACAAAACTGCATCGCATATCTCTAAGGTTTCCTGTGTTCTGCTGGGCCTGTCCATTTCAATTCGTTCTTTTTTTATTGGTTGATCATTGTCCGTTTCTCTATGTGACGTGTTTATTTTTCCTTGAATATTGTCAATATTGACGTCCATTTGCTCCCTTATACCTTAAATTGCTGCTCAAAATTCTCCAAATCTTTTTTCACATTAACAGAATCAGTGCATATTTTTTTCAAATGATGAGAAAAATAATTTTTACGCGAGGCATTATTTTATAAAAAATAAATAACCGAAATAAAAAATGTTTATCCTGAAATTTTAATTTATAACCATTTGCTTGATTAATAGACTACAAATCACATGAATATAATGTCTATAACTGCAATGAGGTCTTGCAATTTTTCAATTACCCCGTGATTAAAAATTTCAACATGATTGGAAATATTTTGACAACCTGTAATTAACCACCTCATCCAAAATGTTTGTTCTGTAATGAAACGTAGAAAAAAATGAGTACAAACTAGGTAAATTAAAAAAAAATTATCCTAGCCAGCTTATTGATATAACATGCACATTTCATAATTAAATTCATTTGGAGTGCATAGCAATAAACGTAATTTGCAGAGGATATTATTGCAATGCGTAGGTTCGGTTAGGCCATTATAATTAGGAATTGTTTAGAATAAGATTGCAAATTAGCAATAGTCCAAATTTTAAAGCTCATAGGGGTTTCAGTTTGTTAATTAAAAAATAACAAAAGATCCTTTGACATAGGGGTAATTCTATAATTAATAATCTATAAATTCATATATGATATAAGTAAAATTATATTTTGTCACACTTACTTATTAAGATAATATAATGCAAATGAAGACAAATTATTAGTTTGGCGTTATATTATATAAGAGACTAATGATTTCGGCTTTTTAGACAAAAGTTTTCCAAAACTTCTATAAAACTGCTCCGGGTTCATCTTTATAGAAAGGAGGCAGATCAATTATATGACACCACTCTAATAAACTGAAGATTTTAGCTTTATCAGATTAACAGAACACCTGATTTGTTAACCTGTGGCTTCATAGACCACAACGTTCGAAAATTGTCTATAAAGTTGTCTTTTTCAGCTTTATGATAAAAAGGACCGGGCACAATGAATTTCATTAGTCTAAGTAACGCGACTTATCTAAGTAGCCAGTTTCTTAGCTAAAAGTCAATTTTCTAAAAACTATGACTTATATTATGTCGTAGTTTCTTAAAAAACTAGCTTTTTAACTACGAAACCAGCTACTTACCTGCGCTTCTGAGACCAATGAAATTAAATGTGTCCGCCCACTTTTCTAACAATTTTTAAACGTTTTAGTTTAAATGTTTGTCACTTTTCTTTTAATATTAATATTTTGAAGCCATGAAAAGTGTATTGAAATATAATTTAAAACTTACAAAACTGATTAGACATTAAAATTATTAGTCTAAAGTTACATAAAATTAAATATGATTACTCGTATTTAATTATTGTTGTGTCTATTTTGGAGAAACGAATTCGTAAAATAGAAATCCATTTCTCAAATAACTGGATTTTACTACATTATTATGTCATCGTTCGAATATATTTCTGTAGCTACCAGACAATGTAGTTGTGAGCACCGACGATGTATTTTTCACAACTGAAGACAGGAATGCAAGCAGCGTGTTCGAATAAATCCATTCGAACATATAAAACTTTGGTACGCTTTAAAAGAAGACTCCCCAAAAATTAGGCACCCCGCCTACTCTCAGAGCGAATTTAACCCCGCACGGTGCAATATCTCTGTTTGCAGAAAGAAGCCCTAAAAAACCTCATCAAGGATTTACTCCTGACACATTTATACAGTGCTCTCCGAAGAGCTTTTATACCATAAGCTATCCAGCTTATGGTATAAAAGCAATCAATAATAAGTTTTTAAAAGTTTTTGCATTGGAAGCCTTAGACCCACGTGGCTGGTACATCTTTAGATTCACAATATTCGTGATAAATAACGACTTGGATAGATAATAGCGCACATAAACATTTTTTTTGGAAGACTTAACTAGTAAGTAGTATTGAGTAGTAGGAATTTTGTTTAGTTCGTTATGTATTTTTACTGATTTTATTTATGCTATTGGTTTTTCTCTATAAGTAAATAGTTTTTGTACCTTTGGATAGCTTTTTGAACCGTTAGTCTTAAGACATTCCTATATTACAGGTAAGAGCTCTCATATTTTGTAACCAGCAATCTATGCTATACACTCTCTCTCATTTTAAGGACATTCTTCATCCTATCTTATCCTATTGTGTAGATACTAATTTTATCTACACAGCGATATAAAACAAAATGTGCTATCACATCAAACTATCAATAAACAAGGTACGTCTTCATCTGCGCAGTATGTGTGCAGCTTTGTTCTAGAATGTGAAGAAGTTATTACAGCAGAAGTAAATAGAAATGTTCTGACGATCAGAATATATAAAGTTGACCACAATACTTTAGATCATAATAATATATTTGGTGTCATAATGGTAGTAGAACGTGATTTACACCAAAAATTGAAACAGTTCATGGCATTATAAATCAGCATTTTTCTAGAAACGCCTTAACAATTTCTAGATCCGAATGTGTCAGCAAGGAATGCGACAGGAGGACTTTTCTCAAGGAATTAGTGATTGTTTTATGTCAACAGGAAGACAGGTTTTATTGATAATGGCTTTTGTTGTTTTTTTCCAG